AAATACAAACAAACTGAAGAAAAGGGAAGAACATTGATGTCAAATGAATATACATACTCATTTGTCCTGATTTTTTTGTGAAATCTATGTCTTTTAGTCACAAAACTACGTGTTGTGGTCTTTCTATTATGTATTGCATCTAGAGCATCTCATTTCAATGACCAGCAGTAATCAGCCATCATGCTGATGTTCCATCTTCCCTGATGTCTTGATGAAACCTATCCCTTGTTCTTCGCTAATGGCACCAAGAGTGTAAGATATGAACTGTCAAGCTCATATTACAACCCAACTCTTTGAATTTATTGAGCATGTTATTGACAATATTTTCCTTATCTATGTCCTTGTTGTTTCATAAAAATTTGTCAGTAACATCTTTAAAGCCAATCCATGCTTCTTTTTCAACTTTTCTCATTGTCTTTTTGAACTGCTCGTCAGAAGTCAATTTCCTAATCTGAGGCCCAACAAAAATCCCTTCAAGTTTCGTTTCTGAAAGATCTATGAATTGTCCACATAGATACTTGAAACAGTCACCAACTTGTCTAAAGCCTTTACAAACTGCTTCATCAAGCCCAGTTTTTGGTGAAGTGGAGATAATAGGACTTTCTTTGTGTCAACCAAACTTTCACGTTCAATAGTTTTTGATCATGGTATCAGGCTGACTGTGCACGGTCATTGCTTCTTTATACAGTGGTGATTTCATGCTCTGCTGTCCCATTCACACAAAAAACATGGAAATTTTGTACAACCGTATTGTTGACTCAACAACACACAAAGGACTTAAGTCGTTTAAGTCTCCACAAAGTAGCCAACCATGTTCTTTGTATTTAACCTTATTAAAAGGAAGTTCGAGATTTTCATACGTTTCCTTCAAGTGATCCGAATGAGCAATACGAACAGATGCATATATGTCACCATTGTGAAGGAGAACACCTTTTAGACTTCTTCTGGAGGAATCAATAAACAATTGCCACTCACTTGGTTCATAGACTGCAGCTCTTAACATTGGTATTAATTCAGCAATATTGTTGCAATAAATCAGTGAACCTTCTTGTGAAAAGTATGGTATAAACTCTTTTTCACAATTTATCTACCAGTAAAATGATGTCCCTAGAGAAAGTAAGTTCTTAGCCCAAAGTCTGGACCTCAAAATCTCTGAAGAATCCTTTGGAAGGCCCAAATCTCTCTCTCCAAATCATTAAGTTCACCTTGTGTCAAAAGTTGTGGTTCACCAGATATTTCAGGTTGAAAACAATCCCTATCATCATTTCTATTGACATCAGATGAAATTGTATCAAGAGTCTTCGGAGGACTAGGTACAGGTACATCAGGTCTTATAGCAGACTGAAGGTTTGGATAAGAAATATTTTTATTTCGAGTGTAGCCTTGCACGTTACACGAGCAAAAATAGCAGTCGTCTGTGGTTTCTAGGCTCATGATAGACCATTGGAATTTCAAAAGGCAAAGAATTTTTCTTACCTTCAGTCCATTGTCTCAACTCTTCGACACAAACAGTGCAAACTTTGTAAGGAGCCCATGATTTATCTTGGTCCTCAAGTTTTATTCCAAAATATGTGTAATATGCTTTTTTGGCAAATTCTGTAATGTTTTGCCTTTGTTTCTTTACAACAAATTTATCACAGATATAACAGAATATGTTTGGGTCTTTTACACAACCTCTTGTTGCCATAGTGATGAATAAATAATATTGAAAGGAAAAAATAATGTCAAAGTGCGAGCACAAACAAATATCCAGAAATGACATGCCATGCAGCCTGTTAACTGTTTATATACTAGCAGTGTGTTTCTCATGGGTTCCAGAATGATCAATAAGACTCTCACATCATGATTGGTCTAAAGAAATCTATAGCCAGTGGTTGTCAACATTTTAAGCATAACAAAATGTGACCTAATTTCAATGAAAATGATTCACTTATGTAAAAATACGTATAACATTTTGTGAAAAATCTGTACGTTATGCAGAAAAATGGATATCATTTTCAGATTCAGCATACAGGAATTACAGTATAACATGTAAAAATTTCATGATAATAAAACCATCACAGGCGTGTGTAACTTATGGGATGTTTATCATCATTCACAACTGTTCTTAGCTTCACAGTGATAATTTACTGTGTTGAATGTCTTTTTTTTAATAAATGTACAACAGAGTGGACAATTACTCATTTATATTGGATATTTTATTTCCAGGTTTGTTTTCATCTCAGTGAAATCATATATATAATTGATGCATCACCCCCACCCCTAATGTTCAATGGTAGGACCAGGGAAAACAAGATTTGGCAGGGTAGAAGCCATCTAGTGACCTACAAATTGGGCAATTTTATTTTTTGAACAGAGTGGTCAGCCTTTAAAATAGATTGCCTTCAGACATAGCATATGCAACAGGACTGGGAGAATTCAACAGAGGACTTGATGAGTACTTGGGGCTGAATATAAGCAGAGAAGTGTTTGATGAAATGAATTAGAACTACAGACAAGCTACAGTGAGCAAAGAGACACCTTGTTGTCCTTCATAAGTTTAGGGCTGACTTTGAGGTTTTCTAGCATTTAGTGGATGGGATGGCCTAGTTGTCCTTTAGTGTTAATATTTGCATTCACTGTAGTCTATAGATAACCTATAAATTATGAATGTTGTAACTTTCTTTAATTTTGAATTAGACCTGATTAATAATAACTTAAATATTTCTGTATTCTTATGATTTAACTTAAATCATCATACAAATTACAATTAATTCTTTTTTCTTTCTTAAATGTTAAACTTAGTTAAAGATTACAACTAAATGATAAATCAGTAAATGGTGGTACAAACATTTAGGCTTAGCAATGTCATTGCAAATTGCGAGGTAACAGTGTTAAGTAACTTACAAAACTAACACTCAGTTTTACTTTACTCTTTTTGTTTGTCCTTATAATTTATTTTAAAAACGAATTAATTTAAATAAACTTTGAATTTGTTAAGTTTTAATGTTAAACTTAAAAAGGCCTACTTTGAATAGGGCTATTGCATTTTTAATTTTATAGTTTCAATGTGCCCTCAGTTTGCCTTGAAATATTTTATAGCTTACAAGTAAAATCTGTGTATGTACTTTTAACTCACCATTTCTCTATAACCTAAGTTTAACATTACAATTTCATTATCAAAGTACGTTCAAGCTAAACATAAAACCCACTTCTTCTGCTTACATTGCTTTTCTTTCATTTCACCTGCCATCTACTGGTAAAATATCATATATTTTAAAATAATTTTCGTAGGAATAATTGTATAATTAATTTAGATAATAATATACAAAACCATATCAGGCACATGTAGTTAAAACCGCATAGGCGACGAAAATATCAAAATTAAAGAATAGGTTGAACTATCGCCAAGTTTTATATATTTTATTTGAAGAAGGATGGCGATTCGAGCTAGCGTTCTTCGTCAGATCAGTTTACGACTATGTATGATCTGATGAAGAGTGCCAGCCATCCTTCTTCAATAAAAATATAT